TTATGTAGCCTCAAACTCATGTGCTTCCTGCCTCAGCCTCCCACATGCTATTTACAGTTATAGACACATCAGCCTCACCATGCCCAGCTAGAGGTCAGTCTTTCTGACAGGACTCCCCCAGTGCTTTTCTTTCTTTCTTCTTTTCTTTAAAAAAAGTGAGTGTTTTGCCTGTATGAAGGTGAGTGTACCACGTGTGTACGGTGCCTGCAGAAGCCAGAAAAGGGCAGCATATCCCATGGAACTGGAGTTAGAGACAGCTGTTAGCCACCACATGGGTGCTGGGAACAAAACCCAGGTCCTCTGCAAGAGCAACCAGTGCTCTTAACCACTGAGCCACCTCTCCAGCCCCTACTCCCTCAGTTCTTAGGCTAAGCATTTCCATTGGTTGTCCATTAAAGATCAAAGATAAACTAACAGCACCTGCTAATCTAACACCACTGTAGCTCAACCCTGACTAATCTGTTTCTGTCTGTTACTCCCTTGGGGAGACAATTTGCTACAGACCTCACAGAGCCTGACCTATTAGCTGGTATATATTCCTCTCTCTCCAAGTATTCTGGAATTCAGTGAACACACAGCTTAACCAGTTTTACACCTGTTCTTACCAACTTCTGCCTTCAGTTTTGCCAGATGGGGAGTACTAATTTAGCACACAGGTGGGAGCCACTCAGGGCCTCTGAGCATCTCGTGCTGTCAAAATGTCAAAATGCTATGATGTGTTCGACACACAGAACTGGAAATGTGACTTATGGGGTACTATTCTCTGGTTATGAGGATCACTGAAAAATTGCCCCTGCTGGCAGGTGCCCTGTTGACCACTGTCATCTCACCAGCAGAACAGCCTAGCATGAAGCAGTCACCCACAACACTTGGGAAATGATTGCCCTTGGCCTTACCCATGCAGTGATGACCATACACTCCTGCATATTCATAGATACATTCACAGATGTGTACACATACATAATACACAGCACAAAAGCCTGCAACGTCAACATGTTAGCCTACTTCCCCAAAGCACTGTCAGCCCATCTGCTGTGAAGGAGCTTTTCAGCCACATCCATGCCTTCATCTCCATTATGACCACCCTAGCATCTGATCCTGATTGGGGCTACATACATCTGAGATCTTAACACAATGGACACATTCTCCTCCCATCACCATCCTGCTTTTTGGTGTCCTGCCAGTGCACATTTACTTTTCTGTCACTCTCCTCCACAGCCTGGCACGGGAGGCCCCATGAATCTTACCTCCCAGACTCCCCGCAGAACCTCTTACTCTTGATAGTGCTTCATCTTCAGCATCCCCCATGTAAGTATTTAGTATCTTCTCTTGATTCCAGTTTCCCAAATACTCTACAACCCTCAGGGTCCAAGTGCAGATGTTTCCCTCTCATTCAATGGGCTCCAATGGGTGGCTTTAGGGAACAGGACAACTCTAGTCCTGTGCCAGAGGCAACAATGTACAAAGTTTGAAAGGGAGCCAAACCTCCTGAGGGTCTCTGGCTTGCAAGTGGCACAGTGACTATCCAATGCCATCTGCTTGTTTTATTTATTTATTTATTTATTTATTTATTTATTGCTGGCATCACGTTTTTGAGGATTTCCCTGTGCATGCCATCTGCTTGTTTTATTTATTTATTTATTTATTTATTTATTTATTTATTTATTTATTTATTGCTGGCATCACGTTTTTGCTCTTTCAGATCATCCTTCTATTATTAAAACCTCAAGTAACTTATTTTTTCCTTGAACAAAGATAATTTTCAAAATGTCTCACATACTGGAGTTACCCGGTTCTGAAAGCTGGTGTGAACAAACAGTTCTGCTCCTGGCCAGATCTGTCTGGCTGCATTTGTCCATGAACTGGCTGGTGAAGTCTGTCCTCATCAGACACTCAGGAGAGTAAATTTTTCATCATTTTTCAGTGAAGCCACGTTGCTTACATTTTATTATTTTATGATTTTTATAAAACAGTGTCTCTTTTCATTTTGTGATTTAAAAAATAAGCATTTATTATTTAGTATGGAGAGGTTGCCCCAGCATGCCTGTGGAGGTCAGAGGACAATTTGTGGGAGTCAGTGCTCTCCTTCCATCAGAAACTGAACTCACTTAGAGGTGAGTACTTATACCTGCTGAGCCATCATACCAGCCCCTCTTTTTTTGTGATTTAAAACAAATTTTTTTTTATATACAGGTCTTGTTATATGGCCCAGGTTGGCTGGCCTTGAACTCATGATCCTCCTGTTTTAGCTTCTCAAGTGGTAGGTTTATAGTCTTAGGCTATGGCGTCCATCTCTTTGTTTTAATTAAATATGAGAGACTATCCAGTTTACAGGCAGGATTCTGCAAATGACAAAGCCTAAAACAAGTTTCCTTCCTGCCTACATGCAGTGATCACTGACACAGGGCAACTGGTTAGGACGGCAGGGCAAGCTCTGAGGTGACAACAGTGGGCTCACTTTCTCTAGCAGGACAGAGGTATGGGGTGTGTGGGGTGCAGACTGTGGTCCTTTACAGAATGTCTGTCCATGCCAGACCCTAGGCAGGTTCAGGGGAAGGCAATGGAGATAATGACTAAGCCAACTGTGATGTGGCTGAGGTGGGCAGTATGAAGTTCTATTGCACCCCCTACAGGGAAGTAGATGCAGGAGCTGACTCGGTGAGTCTCTGCTCCTGAGCATGTCGAATCCAGGGAAAAGGGAACAAAGGCTGTAATGCTCTGAGCTAAATGACAGAGTAAAGATCCCATTTCTTCCTCTTTTATAATGGGGGTTGTTTTCTGAGACAACAACTTGTTATATAGCTGGCCTTGAACTTGAAATCTTCTTGCTTCAACCTCCTGAGTGCTGACATCATAATCCTGACCAACAAGGCCCAGCCAGTGCCCTCGTGTTTTTTTGTTTTTGTTTTTGTTTTTTGAAATATGTTTGGTCACAGTTGCACTCATTGTTTCTTTATACCAAGTAATTTTATACATACAATATAAAATGAGATCGCATACATACGACAGGTTGGAAAGGGCTTTTTCAACCAGACAAAAATTCCCAGGCTGTGACGTCAAAAGTTTAAAAGGGTCCAGGTGTTGAGGCACATACTCACAGTCCCAGCACTCAGGCAGCTGAGGAAGGAGGATCATGATCTTGAGACCAGCCCGAGCTACACAGAGAGACCCTGTCTCAAACATCTCCCACACAAAATAAAATGGTGTAAACATCCCAGGATGAGAACAGTTGAAAATTTGAGGTATATCCTTATTACAGCTATAGAAAGTATTAAATAAGTCTACAGAGATAACACAGGAGAGTTTAACTGTCCTGTCTTTTAAAACCTGCGAGTGTACTAACAGGTATTAAGTCTATCAGTGTGAATAGCATAAAATGGACATGCAGAAATCCAAAGAGAAGAGGGTGACAGAAAGCAAACTATTAAAAATACAGATTCCACAATATAAAGCAAGAATTTTATATTTATTTGCACATTCACAAAAACACATTTGCCAAAATGTTGGAGGTATGCCATTGAATCTCAGGATAAATATATTTCAAGTGATTTTTTTTCTAAATAGGGTGACCTTGATCCTCCTGCCTCAGCCTCCCAAGTGCTAAGATTACAGGTGTGTGCCACCATACCTGGCTCAGGTGATTTTTATACTTTTCCTTATATTTCCTACATTTTAACAAGAATAATAACCACTATACAATTAGAAAGAACTATTTTCAATATAGAAAAAAGTAGAATGATTCAAAATACTGTCAAAATAAAAATAGGCCTCCCTTGCCAAAATACAGCATGCCAGTGGAATCTTGCATTTATAACCCAAAGAGAAGCTTACAATCTTCTAAATGGAGAACCAAAATCTGAAATTAATAATTATCATAAATACTTTAAGCATCTTGAATCAGGGTATAAATCTAATTTTTAACATGTTTACCCAGTGGCTTAGAGCATTCCAAAGCTCGATCAATCCTCAATAATTGACAAGCACATTTCAAATCCTGTGAGTTATGACATCAAAGATGCTATTATTTGATATACAAATGCTATTAAGGGTAAAATCTCATCTAAAAAGGAAATGGGAGATAGAGAAGCTTTGGTGGAAATAATTTAACTTGAAATTTGATCTGTCACAAGAGCAGTGATAAAACTCTAATACAGAACACAATTTTTCTTCCTGCTCTGGTCAGATGAATTCTCTCTGGGTTTGTTATGTGTGTTCCTGCAGTCTCGGTGTGGTGTGCTACCTACACAGCTATGACAGCTCTCCACCAATACCGTAACCTGCTTGTCACTGCCGATTGGAGCCCTGGCACTAGCTACCAATTTCAAACTATCTCCAGGCTGGGCCTGTTTCATCTGCCTGCTAAAATTCTCACCATAATGTGTAACTTGTTTGCAGAGAAGTATAACTTTTTCATTCCTTTCGGTTTCCATCTTTATTTATTTTTCCTGTTCTGAGGATTGAACCCAGGGTCTTGTGCATGCTAGGCAAGCACTTTACCACTGACCTACATCCTTAGCCTTCTTTTTATTTTCTATTTTGGGACACAGCCTTGCTCAGATTCAATTCTCCTGCCTCAGCCTCCCAATTAGGTGGGTTGACAGACCTGTGCCAGTAGACCTAGCTCACACTTCCCTCCTTTCCTCCCTTCTGCCCTCCCTCCCTGGGTCTCTAATAGCTGAGGCTGGCCTCCAACTCACTCTGAAGCTGAGGATGATCTTGAACTCCTGATCCCCCTGCCTTCAGCTCCCAGGTTCTGGAATTCTAGGCAAGGACCACCTGCTTTCTTTGCAGGGCAGTGGAAGTGGATATCTCCAAGCTATATAGAGGGTTCTGCCAAAAGCCTTGGAATAGCCTGAACAGGGCACACACTGGGCAGCGACCACCACCCCTAATCTCTGAGGCCACAGACTCCCAGCTGATTCAGGGACCTCGTCTGCTATTCTTTTAGACAGTAAATGCTCAAAAACTCATTTTACAATCTAACCTTCCCAAATACTCACCTGGACTAACAAGTGATCTGAATTGGTCAAGCGTGCCCCATATTTCTCAGCATTCTCATTCATCTGCTTTATCAAGTCTGTCAGTATTTCCACAGCACCATTGCTGATCATTTCATTAAGAAATTCTGGACTTCCGGAAATGAATTTCAGAGCCCCCATACAGTAGAGAAAAGCTTCAGTGTTCGTTTGCAGGTCTTCACTTCTTAGCACCTCCAACAATGATTCTGCCAAAAAGATGAATTTCTGTAAATGTTTAAGTACGGCACCAAATTAGATGTTCGCATATAATTTGTAAAATATGTTCACCCAGAGCTACTGGCGAATGCTCATGAAGGATTACTCGAGCAGCAAAGTGTGCTTTGGGCAACGACAAGTCTCTGCATAGTGATAGAAGCAGAAGAGTGAGCAGAGGTGACATTCATATGCAACTAAGAAAATATTCTTTTAACCAAATGCCATTCCTTGCCCTTCCTAATATTTACCAGCTTTTATTTTTTAGTTACAAAAAAATTTCAAGTTCTTATAGAATACTCATAAAGCAATCTAAGAGTTAAACTTCAACAAATCCCAACTTGATATTTTATTGATGGGAAATAAGTCACAATAGGAACTTTTTAAAAAAAATCTCAGCACCTCACACCTTTAATCCCCACACTCTGGAGGCAGTGTTTGCTGTGATTGCTGTGAGGTCAAGGCCAGTTTGGGAATGGTCTACATACTGAGTTCCAGGCCAGGTGGGGCTACACAGTGAGATTAAAAACAAAACAAAACAAACCATAAAGCAAACAAACAAAAATCTCAGTTACAAAAGGTATAATTTGAATATAACTAATTCACCCTTTCCTAAGACAACTTAAGAATATCCACCCAGCTAAGCATGGTGGCACACATCTTCCAGGAATTTGAGGCCAGCCTGAACTGGGCTATATAGTGAGAGTCTGTGTCTCCAAAAGCAAACAAAAATGAAAAAAAAAAAAAAAAAGCCCAGAAAACCACAGGGCTGGGGCTGTAGCTCAATGGTAGAGCACTTGCCTCACATGCATGACACCCTAAATTCAATCCCCAGTCCTGTAAAAACATAAAGCCAAACAAACACACGCATTGATCCAAATGACATTCAGCTACTAACTTTAGACGTAATCCAAGCAACTTTAACAAGGTTATAATGCATATATCACATTGACGTGTAACAATGTCAAAGGGATCATCTGCCAGATTCTTTCTCTATTTTCAGCCTATAATTCTCAGTTAACTGATGCAATGTTAGATCTTTCTTTCAGCCCTGGTTTTGTCCCTGTCTGCTGAGATATAAAAAGATGTTGAGATCATTGTCCCCTGTTACCAAAAAAGGGCTGCAAACTTTCCATGGTGCTGCATCCTCCACATGAAAAGCACTAATTCCTAAAAGATTTCCACCTAGCTAACTCTAGGAGCTTCTTTATCACTTAGGGATATGTTAAGAATTAGGCATTGTCAGCTAGGTCATTAATATCTATAAGATGTAGCTGGGTGTGGTGGCGCACATCTTTAATCCCACCATTTAGGAGACAGAGGCAGGAGGATCTCTGAAGTTGTGGCCAGGCTGGTCAACATAGCCTGTTCCAGGCTAGCTGCGGCTACAGAGAGACCCTGTCTCAAAAAAATTTATTTTTCTGTAGCTACATATCTGCAATGTTTCCATGTCAGGTTCCTATAACAGCTGCATATGCTTCTCAGGATTTTTTACTCATTTCTATTATATCAAGAGACTAGAGTCTTTGAGTATGTCAGAAGCTTTAAAGTATTTTTTTTCTAACAGTAAATCCATGTCTAGAAAATGAATTTCTATACAATATCACTACAAGCATCAAAAGAGCAAAACCAAAACCAATTCTGTCATACTGCACTCCAAATTATGCATTAAACAGAACGTGGGAACAGAAAGATGAGCAACATAAGCAGCACAGCTTCTGCATTTTCCTTGAAATAAAGTATCCTTGCTACCATTAACTCTCATTTTTCTCTCCAGGCTTTTAAAGTTTTTTAAAGAACTCTATTTTTATCTTATGTGTATGAGTGTTTTGCCTGCATGTTACATGTAAGTGGACCACATGAATGCAATGCCAGATGAGGCCAGAAAAGGGTACTGGATCCCCTGGAGCTGGAGTTATGGATGGTTCTTAGCAGTCATGTGGGTGCTGGGAACCCAACCCGGGTTCTCTGCAAGAGCCGCCAGTGCTCTAACCACTGAACAATCCCTCCAGCCCTGCTTTAGGCATAACATCCGCTCCAGGGCAGCACTGAAGGAAACTCACCCAGGATGTTGTCCTTCTGAATCAGAGAGTCATTCTTCTCACTCCTGCTGATTTTAAATATCAGTTTGCAGACATTCAAAAGATTCTTTCTACTTACTTTAAGCTGCAGAGAAAGAAAACACTTAGTTTCTATTGCAAAGGAAAATAATTCATGCCACTTTTTAAAAACACAAACATCCACATTAAAAGTGCAACAGGAATATTTTTAAACATAGCCAAATGTCCTAAAGGGACAACTTGGATGTCACCTATAATATCTAATTAATTCAATTATACAATGCAAATGACTTTAGAGTAAAAACATTAACAAACATTTATTTCTTACTATGAAGTGTTTTACATTTATATGTAAAGTTATTAGTTACTCTTAAAAGACCAAATGAGGAAGAAAGGGGGCAGCACAACGTCAATAAATTTAATTAAATGGAGTAATTTCTTTAAAGCACAAAGTAAAGGAAGAGGGATACCAAAAGTTCAGATTAAACTAACTTAGAAAAGAATCTATTATAGGAGTGAAGGAAAGAAAAAAGAAAAAAAAGTCCCCTTTGCCATTTGTATAAAAGAGAATGTAAAACTAATATCTGTTTTTTAATGTAGCACTGGTTGGCCTGAAACTTGCAATGTAGAACAGGCTGGCCTTGAACTCATAATGATCTGCCTGTCTCTGCCCCTGGGATGCTAGGATTAAATGTGTGCCACCATGCCCAGTCCTTTTGATTAGATCATACCTTTGTTTACTTTTAAGGATATTTCTGGAGTACTTTTTGATAATCACTAATATTTAAAGTTGAAAATTATCTTCTAAATCATACAAAAATATCTAAGTCAATTAAGTACAAGACACTAAGTAAGCTTTCTTTTATAAAAATAGAGTATAGGCTGACTAGCTCAATCAAAGGTCTAAATTACCTATGTATTGATCTAAAGCAGTAAAAAAATAAAATGTTAGATATTAGGGAATAGACTAACAAATTATGGAACAGAAAAAACTATTCAAATCAAGGATGCACAAAAAAGAATAACTGTGAATACTACTTTTTGGAAAAAAATTATATTTATTTATTTATTTATTTATTTATTTATTTATTTATTTATTTGTGGGTGGGTGGCATGTGTGTGTATGTGTGTGCGCACACACGTGTGTGTGTATGTGTGCATACGAGTTTGTCAAGATACATGTGTGCAGGAATCAGTTTTCTCCTTCCACCATGTGGGTCCTGGACATCAAGCTCCAGTCATCAGACTTGTAGGCAAGCACCTTTACTTGCTGAGCCATCTTGCTGGGTGGAATACTACCCTTAAAAAGAAAAACATCTATAATTTCTGGGTTGGATGTGAATATTATGTGCTCTTATTGTAACAGTATAAAATATGTTTGTAGGCATGAAGTCATCTAAACAAATAAATACTTCTGTGTAAAAATGATGGCATAAGGCTCACTATTTTACGATTAAAAACTACCGTTAAGGATATCTCTAAAATTGCTTACTGAGTTTTTGGTTAATTTTTAAATAAGATAATAGGCTATGTAGACCTATTTGTTAAAGATTGATCATGTGAGATCCATAAATATTTACTGAGTACTTAACTGTTCCTGGCTCAGCTGTTCCCTGAAGGAGATAGACAGAAGGGCAGGTTGCTTGTGGCTAGGGCAGAGGGAGGGAGCCCAGCCAAGGGTCTGCACCTGCCCCTCCTGTTCTGAGCCCTTTGCACAAGTGATCTCGGAGAACTTCACCCATTAGGTGTCATCCCTGCTCTGCAGTTGAGAGAACAGTGGCCTCAGATAGGCCTCAGAGCTATCGCTCACCACATCATTATGTGCTAGGAATGTGAAGACTCAGGCCGACCACACCATTGAGCCAGAACCTGCATTTTAACAACTCTCCAGGGCATTATTCACTGCACATTTCAGTCTGAGAGACCTCAGAGATCACATGTGTGGAAATGCAGGATGTAGAAGATTTGGGGAAACATTTGAGTCAGCTGACTATCTCCACTGGGAGTCCTTGAGGACAAAACCTTGACTAACTCCTCTTAGTGGTATATAGCACGTGCTCTAACCCTGACAAAATACCGCAAATAAATGAATTAACATCATTAATCCTAGTACATGGGAGGTAATGACAGGCAGATCTCTGAGTTTGAGGCCAGTTTGGTCTACATAGTGAGTTCAAGGCCAGCCAGGTCTGCATAGTGAGATCCTGCCTTAAGAAACAAACCAAAACCAAAAAAAGCTACTTTCTTTGGCAAATTCAAGTTAAAGTTTGAAATCACTTCTGCCCTCCTACTGTATCTAATCATGAATGATGTACTGACAATTCTTTCTGGCTTTTTTCCCTCTACAAAGGATGCTAGACTTTTTACCCCTTCAGAATATAGACACAATCATATTGTGTCTATGTGTTTGTATTCTTTAAACAATCTTAATATAGACTGACGTATTTTCATAAGATTCTTTTAAAAGAAAAGGTTAAAATTAAAATGGCTGTCTGGCAGATCTCCATTTAGCCAAAGAATTCAAGAAATCAGAACAACTCACATACTTGCTGAATGTTTTGAACTATAAATAATATTACATGATTGAATTACAATTTCAAACTGGTGCTTGATAGAATAAATACTGGCAAGAAGAGAAGTGGTGATGAGTTTTCAGCTCTGTGTATCTTTAGCCGTCACTAACCTTTTCTTCCACAGTTCTTACAATATGGTCTCTTGGGAATTTCTTTAAGATTTTATTTATTCTGTTTTGGGGGGAGTCTTTTTGAGACAGGGTCTCCCTGTAGCCCCAGCTGACCTGGAACTCACTATGCAGACCAGGCTGGCCTCAAATTCACAGAAATCCACCTGCTTTTGCCTCCCGAGTACAGGGATTAAAGACGTGTGCCACAAACGCCTGGCTTTAGTCTTACTTTTTATGTATGAGTGTTTCGCCTACATGTACGTATGTGTACCACATATATACAGTGCCCAAGAAGGCCAAAAGAGGGTGTTGGGACCCCTGGAACTGGAGTCACAGGTGGTTGTGAGTCATGTGGGTACTAGGAACTGAACTTGAGTCCTCTGGAAGAGCAGCAAGTGCCAGCTCTCCAGTTCCATCTTGAGAATTTATTTAGAATCCCATCTGAAGGCCTCAGCTAAACAGGATCTTCCCTGGCATGTTACAGGAGAGTCAAGCAGCAGATAGGAAGCTGGATTTGATAGCTTTGAAGGTCCTTCTGACCTGGTGGCTCTGGGGCACCAACCTACCCAACCCTGTACTTAACAGCCTGGACTTAACGGGACAGGCAGTGTCACAGAGGGAACTTTACCTACTCAATATCTAGTTCAGAAAGACTTCACTACCTGGTGGACGGCTCAGCCTGCTGCCCCAACATAGTTAAAGTGTGCTATATATATAACTGATTTGCACGACACCATCAATAACCAAGGTAATGTTTTCCCTGCAAAGCATTAGTAGATTCATGCTTCATTCTTTTTCTTTTTCTTCTTTTCTGGCTTGGTATGGAACAAAATGTCTAGACTCCAGATGAAAAGGCAAAGTCAGTCCCTGGGTGCTGGTAGCCTGGTCCTGCCCAGGGCAGCTCCATCAAGAGAGTCCTAGAATGAAATCACTATTTCAAAGACACATTGTACTGAGTCACATATCCCAATTTCTAAAAAGAGAATGATTAATTTAGGATGGTGGCTAAACAGCATGGAGTCTCCACCTGAAATTACATAGCAAATGTAGTTAGAATACTCTGTTTCTGAAAGACTTCATTATCAAAATAAGGCAAGTCGAACACTTCACTACACTTCCCTTCACTGTGAGCTTCATGGTCTTAAATTGTATGAGTGATGGGTGTGAACAGAAAGCTTTTACTTTTATGGAACCAGGTAGGTAAACAAAGCTCATTCACTTGTTTTGCGGCTTTCTTAGAACATTCCATAATGGTTATGGCTTATCTTTTGGTTCCAACTGTTTATGGCTGGGACAACAAAGCTCTCCCTTCAAACAATGCTATTGTTTTGTTCTAGGCTGAGTTGCTACAGACTTACTTGGTGTGTGGTCTTTTTTTTTTTTAACACTTTGCAGGAGCCTTCTATGACCACCAAGGGGCCTTCCGGTGACCACAGGCAGCTGGTTTCCTCTTTCACACTGGTTCACAAAGCACCTGGCCCTTGTGTCTGGGGTCCAAATTACTTTGTTTTTTCTTTAAAAATTTTTTTTTCTTTATTTTTATTTTATATGTATGTGTGTATTGTGTGCATGTATGCAAGTGCATCCATGTTGTACAATGCTCAAGGAGGACAGGGAGAGCAACATATTCCTTGAAGCTGGAGTTACAGGTGGTTGTTAGCCACCATGTGGGTGCTGGGAATTGAACCCTGGTCTTCTGCAAGAATAGTCAGTGCTCTTAATCTCTGAGCCATCTCTCCAGCCCCATTACTTTGTTTCTTAACCCATAAGACAGTCAGGCTGCCAGCAGGAACCACAGGGCAGAGATCATGGCCTGCACTGTCCCAGACTTCTCTCAGTCAAGTTACTGGAACAACTGGCTTAAATATGTTTGCTATCCTTACTTTTTTCTTTTTTCTTTTTTTTTAAGATTTATTTTTAATTTGTGTGTTTGAGTGTTTTGTCTGCATGCATATGTGTATTGTATGTGTGCAATGCCCATGGAGGCCCGAAGAAGGTGTTAAATCCCCTGAAGCTGGCGTTGCAGATGGTTGTTAACCGCCATATGGGAGCTGGAAACTGAACCTGGGTCCTCTGCAGGAGCCATCAGTGCTCTTAACCACTGAGCCATCTCTCCAGCTCCTTTTTTTTTTTCTTGTTTTCCCTTTTTTTCTCTTTTCCTAGTACAATAAAATCTAGGCCCAGCCCAAATGTAAGTGTGTTGGAATATTTCCTACTCAGTCTTAGGTCTTCAGGTATTATTTTCTAGTTAAAATCTGGGATTCTAGTTTATTACCTTCATTTTCTAAGGTTCTAAACAAACACACTGCATTTAAAAAATCTTTTCACAATATTTACAAACAAATCATTTAATGAAGCATGGAGGGGGACCATCTGCTAGAAAGGAGAAAGGCAAACTTACCGCTAGGATAATTTTTGCAAGTTTAAGGCTCAGCGAGTCTGAGCCAACATCCACTAGTTTATAGAGGGTCTTCAGGAGAACACTTCTTCTCTTAAACTTATTTCCAAGCATGCTTCCTTCCTGTAAAGCATGATGGAGTTGTGTGCAAGCAGCACACATTGTTTCAATGTTTTCTTCTGTCAGAGGAAAGAGAGAATACAGCACTTACTCATTAGTTAAGTTTTCAAGTATGTCAAACACAGACAGTATAAGTAAAAACCCCATGGCTATCCCCCAGACATCTCCAAATCTCTGGACTCTATTTTCCCTTTTCATATCACTTCAATTTCTTGACTTTTTCCATCTCTTTGACCCATCTCCTACACTGACTTATTTACTAATCAGTCAGTTGGCTTATCTAGAACACAAAGTCTTTCCCTTGGTCTCCTTTCCAAGCAGCCCCCACCACAACCTGTGCTCTATCCAACCTACAGAAGCATACCACTTGTGTCTCTGCTTTCACTCCTTTTCAGCATAGTTCCTTCAAAAAAGACGCACGATTCCAGCTTTCAGCAAACAGTGCCTTGTGCTGCAACTTATTCTTCACATATGAATGCATGTGGTATGCTATGTACAGGTGGCATGCTTTAAATGAGTAAAGATGCCTGACATGCCTTTCTACCAAAACTGCATGGTAGAGTGAGATTACTATGCACACAGTCTACAACTTGATTTCATACAGATTCATTTTCTAATATATCTGTTGATTAAAAACAAGGAATTATGTTTTCCTTTAAGAATGACTGTCATCTGAAAAAAAAGTGCTCACAGAATAAAAGCTCAAAATATCATCAAATCCACCATTATTATTAAAGAGGAAAAAAATTTTTAAAGTATTTAGTTAGGAATGAGGAGACCTAGAGCATTTCATTTTATTATTATGATTCCAATGAACGTTAAGTCTCGAAAGTGGCCCAAAAATTGGCACAAGGGAACACAAAAAGCAGCACTCACCAAGGAACACCAGGGGACAGGAGGGCCCGAGGGAGAGTGCACTTGAAAATACCGTCTCTGATAGAGTCTATCCGTCACAGAATTTAAAAGTAGGGGACAAATCTTAAATAAAGACCACAATGCGCTTAGACTCTGGCACGGAGGAAGTATGTGCCTGCAGAAGGAAGTGACTCAGGCCATTTTAGCTCTTTCAACAATAATGCCTAGGAAAAAAAGTTTAAACCTCAATAGCTAAATAACTTCCAAAGCCTTCCAGTTATGCACTTAAATAAATGAACTGATAGGAAATGAATTAGACCAACCTTAAATAAAGAGAAAAACCTAAACTCTATTGTGTGAAGCACTTTTGTTATATTGTTTTATTCTTCTGCAACTGGCACTTTCTTCACAATCCCCGAGTCCAGGTTCTAGGCCACGCTCTGGCAATGGATGGACCTCAAGGTATTTTTCTAACACTTTGCCTTATACTCTTTAAACTACTTGGGTTCTATCAAGATTAACTGTTTTAGCTCAGAGAGAAATAAAAAGGAAAGCTCTAGGACCAAAGTTTAAACTATTGCTCAAGTAAACCCTCTATACTAACAAGTTGGCTGTCATAGTTATAATGCCACATGTAGTCAGGCATGGTGATGCATACCTGTAATACCAGCACTCTAGAGACTGAGGTCTGAAGATCCCAAGTTCAAGGTCAGTCTGGGACATATTTGGAGGCCCTGCCTTCAAAAGCAAAAGCCTCAAAGTAAAGCAAAACAAAAAGTCACACAGCCTCAACAGATATTATAAGATCTGTTGAGGTTATTAATGGGCTGAAGCTAGTACAAGTTTGCAGAGTAATAGAGAGCAATATAATCTCCAGGTAACTTCTTCGGGGAAGCATTCACTAACCACAAAGGGAAAACCCAGTTATACAGAGGACAAGCCTGGTATGCACCACCTGACCAAAGGATACAAGTTTATGGCTCCAACAAGGTCAGTGTAATGGGCCTTGTGCCATGAGGCATAACAGAGAGTGCATAACCATGCATGTAAACCTGCTCCAAAGGCCCAACCTAGGTCTTATCATGAGAAAACACCAGGTAAACCTGATTTGTGGGACAGCCTGCACAACAAATGACCTATGCTCCTCACTTGTATCAGGATCATGAAAGAGATGTTACAGATGATTGGAACATGTCTGGGGCTTTCTTTATCTACAAAGGAAATGATAAGGATATTTTAATAAAGTGAAGGCAAAATCTGTATAGTATTATATGGTAATTTCCAGATATGGAAGAGAACAGAATACCCTTGTTTCTGTAAACAAGTAAACAAACACATAAATAAGCAAACAACAACAAAAATCACAAGCCAAAGTATTTAGGAATATAGGCTTGGGTTTTTTTGTTTTTGTTTTTGTTTGTTTCATTTTGAGATAGGGCTCACTATGTAGTGGAGGCTGGCCTTGAACATGTTAGCAACTCATTCTCAAAAAGTTCTAGAAACAACAACCAAAAAAAACTCTGTGTGTGTTTGTGTGTGTTTGTGTGTGTGTGTGTGTGTTTGTGTGTGTGTGTGTGTGTGTGTGTGTGTAGAGGCAGAGAAAGAGAGAAGGGGGAAAGGGGAAAAAGAGAAGGGAGAGAAAAATAGAAAAGGAGGTTATGCCAAAGAGATATGATAAAATATTAATATTGGGAGATTCTGGGACAAGAGCAAATGGGATTGTTTTTTATTACTTTCTTTGCCACTTTTCTATAAGTCTAAAATTAGATCAAAAGAAGTTCTGAAGAACTGCAAGGTGTCAAGTACCGGAGTCGATACTATTTGCTGTTCTTATATTTGTCTAGGGAGAAAGATGTGGTATTGCAGTGTTTTGTTTGCTTGTTTTCTTTTTGACACAGTCTTGCTATGTAATTCAGATGGGTCTTGAACTCACAGCTTCTCAAGTGCTAGGACTGCAGGTCTGTTCTAAGGAGAACACTCATTTCCATTTCAACCTCCAAACTCAATGGTGCCCTAAATTTGCTGTTAGTGTCTGTGGTGGGCAGAGTGCCAGGCATCCTCCTAAAACCCTTCAGGTGGAAGATCTATCTTCCAAGGTAGACCTCCCAGCTGAAGGTCTCCAAATGATTTTTAACCCTAGCCTGGCTCACTGTTCTCATTACATTTGCACTCATTCCCTAATGGAAGAGTCCAAAGATAAGCTGATAGCTAAAAGGAGGGTGAAAATAGTTAACTCCAGGGAAAAAGTCACATTCATATTCCCAAGACTTAGGGCTATAGAGCTTTCGAAGTAATCTAGTTTCATTCATCCTTGAGCACACAGAGTTTACATGTAGCACTATCCGCCTGGTTATTAGCAGCACCAGAAAGCCTGCCCAGAGCTTATGGAGAGCACAGCCTAGCAGCAGCCACTGAAAGACAAGCCACTGGCTGCTGAGGAAGCAGCTGTTCTTCACCAGCCCCCTGCTTGCAGGCTGCAAATATGCATTTCCCTATGTCTCCTGGAGTATCTTCTGAGGGCTGTCATGCTGGTCATGCATCCAAGAAGCATTCACTCAAGTTCCACTGAGGGTCTATTGTGCACATGGCACCAGGCGCTGGGCTGACTCTGGCGTTATGACCACAGGTTCAGAGGAGCCTGGTTTGCTTTCTCAAATGGAGTATCTAAGGAACTGCAAGATGAAGAAGGTGAGGAGCATCCCCTGAGCAGCTTCCCATACAGTCACAGGGACACTCATTGTAGGCCTTCACTCCAGAGTGCTGGACAGGATACAACCAGGCCACTTTTTTGTTGTTGTTGTTTTTGGTCTTTTTGAGACAGGGTCTCCCTGTAGCCCAAGCTGGCCTGGAATTTGCTGTGTAGACAAGGCTGGCCTTAAACTCACAGAGATCTACCTGCCTCTGCCTCCCAAGTGTTGGGATTAAAGGCGAGTGCCACTAGGCCTGGCTCTCTAGGCTACTTCTTGAGCAATGAGTGGCATCCTGGCAGACATACTCAACTTCGGGAATAGCAAGAATCAACAAAGCCATGGGCACAGCTCTTGATGACGAGGCTGTGTGACTCATTCAGTTCCAGAGGCCTGAGGTCTGCTTTCCTCTTTGACTTTCTAGAATGTGAATAGTCTCCCTGGAGAGGTCAAACCAGCATTTTCCTGAGCAGAAGTGATCACTCATTTGTACTAGGGGAGAATTTTAGAACTTGGCTCTCCAGTACATTAAAAGTATAATTTTACTCACTAATAATTTGGTTTACATAATATTTAGCATGCACATTATTAGATAAGTAAATATATAACATCATTTGTTTTTCAACATATTCACATAAATGGTCAAAGTATACCAAAACATCAGGGCAATAGGGACCATATAAATAAACACAGATTTTTTTTTAAATTTTAAACAAGAACTGTTGTTTTACCCTTTTCTAATTCATGCAAAATTGGTACAATCCTTGTTTTCCAAAAGACTTCATCTACTTCTATTTTTGTATCATTTTCTTGCAAGTTGGCCTCGGAAACTGCAAAAGAAATCCAGAGCAGGAGAAAGCACTGTGAAAAAGGAGCTGGAATGGTCAAAAGTCTTCCCAGTATCACTAAAATTGATAAACTACAGAATTAAATCTCACCTCGCCCCCTCCCAACCCTAACTCCAATTATAGTTATAGGTCTTTTAATCAAATCACCCCAAATAAAACTCAGAGGAGATAATTCAAAGAAACAGAACAGTCATTAGACTCCTTCATAAAGCATAATGCTTTATAAGTGTTGATAACTATCAGGAAGGCAAACTAGTTCAAGGTTTTATTTGTTTGTTTGGTCTTCTTCAGACAGGGTCGCCCTGTGGCCTCAGCTGGCCCTAGAACTCTCTATGTAGACCAGGCTGGCCTTGATCTCACAAAGATCCGCCTGCCTCTGCCTCCCAAGTGCTGCATTTAAAGGTATGTGCCAGCAGGTCTAGCATCAAGTCATATTTTATTTTAATTTATTTCTCTTGTAATTTATTTGTCTTGGATACAGACAAAGACTTAAAATACTTAATGAAAAATTTTAGCCCTTTCAGGACACCATGTTGGGCCAGTGCTTTCCTGTAGGGTGGTAGGAAATGTCTTGTTTTTCCATACCCCAGCTCTATGATTGACACATTGGGTGACTGAGGTCTAGCCTCTGGTCCTTTCCAAGCCCCAGTTCTTTCTCAGCAAAAAGAATACTCGCCTTCAAGGTTATGAAAACTAAATGTAGCTATGAAGGCAAAGTCCTGCCCGAAGGTCACATATCTAGCAACATTAAGGATCTGTGAACTTCTTTTCCTTGACTAAACAGGTAATGACTGAAGTATGTCGTCACAGTGCCACAAAGAGCAGATGCTGCGCAAACTGTTGGGGGCAGTGCTGCTGTTCTTTGTACCTGAGATGCAGCAGAACTCACTATGTAGCCTGGGCTAGCCTTGAAGCCACAGTGACCCTCTTGCCTCAGCCCACCAAGTGCTAAGATTCCAGGTGTGAGTCACCACACCCAGCTGAGGCTCCTGTTTTGCTGGGTTTTACAGATAAAGTGCAATGGGGTGTTAATTAGCGTCCAAAGGTCATAGAGTTCCATGGCCCTTGTTGTTGTGCTCCACAGCAAACTAGCAGACTAAAAGCTAACACTGGGAGAAATAGAATTCATAGGAAAAATGGAAAATTGGATTTTACTTCATACAGGCAATATCTCAAATCTAAAACACAACAGCAGCTGACAGAGGTTCTGCTTTATGGAAGCATTCCTCAGCCTCCCTCCTCTGAGGTCTGCCTCCTGAATACCTTGCCTGGCACCCAGCCTATACCAGGTAAGGCCACCTCTAAGAGTCATCAAGATGGACCTGCCACCAGAAAAGTGTAAGTGAAATGTTAGGAATCACAGGAGTAATCAGAAGGTCCAACACACACACACACACACACACACACACACACACACACACACACACCTATCTTAATATTTATTTTGCCCTTTCTGAACTCCTGCACTCACATGTACACATAGCCCCATACATATAGATAAAAATAAAATAAATCTTGGTCTGGAGAGTTGGCCCAGTAATTAAGAGCATTGGCTGCTCTTGCAGAGGACCCACATAGCTGCTAACGACCATCCATAACTCCTGTTCCAGGGGATCTGATGCCCTCTTCTGGCTTTCATAGTTGCACATACACCATACAGGCAAAACACTCATACACAAAATAAAATAAAATAAAATAAAATAAAATAAAAATAAAATAAAATAGCCTTAAAAATGAAATCCTTTCTTAGCTATATAAAGTTCAGAGAAATTCACGGATAACCCACAATGGCATGTGTTAAAAAATTAATTTGCGGCCTGGAGAGATGCTCAGCAGTTAACAGCACTGGCTGCTCTTGTAGAGGACCCTGGTTCAGTTCCCAGCACCCAACACGGTGGTTAACAACAGTCCTCAACTCTAGTTCCAGGGGATCTACTGATCCTTTCTTAGCTATATAAAGTTCAGAGAAATTCACGGATAACCCACAATGGCATGTGTTAAAAAATTAATTTGCGGCCTGGAGAGATGCTCAGCAGTTAACAGCACTGGCTGCTCTTGTAGAGGACCCTGGTTCAGTTCCCAGCACCCAACACGGTGGTTAACAACAGTCCTCAACTCTAGTTCCAGGGGATCTACTGCCCTCTTCTGGCTTCTGTAGGCATTCCATGAATGGGTGCACTGACATACCTGCAGGCAAAACACTCATATACATGAAATTTTTAAAAATTAATTTGAGGAGCTGGAGAGATGGCTCAGCAGTTAAGAACATTGGTTGCTCTTGCAGAGGATCCTGGTTCAATTTCTAGCACCCACAGGGCAGCTAACAAACTGCCATAACTTAAGTTTCAGAGGATCTGACACCCTCTTCTGACCTCCACGGGCAGTGCATGACACAGGTGCACTTACATACATGCAGGCAATACACTCAAACACATAAAATAAAAATAATAAAATTAAAAATTAATTTGAATTCAGAGATGTCCGAAATGAATCCCTAAGCCATCAAATAAGAAGTTTTCCATCACATGGTGCTGATGTCTCCCAGGAGAAGCAGAGAAGCTGTGTAATTAACACCCCCTCCCAGTGCTCAGGTCTTACCACTACTGTGTGCTAGAAATGCCCATTCCAAGTTACAAGTCTAGGCTTGCTTCTTATTAAATTTTTCTAGTGCCAAGAGAAGCCTGGCATGCTGGGCACGGGAAAGCCCCCGAGCTCAAAGGTAAACAGGAAGGGCTTGGCAAAAAAAACTGTGGTTAAATAGTAAAGATACACTATGGTAGGAAGAGCAAGACTTTGGATAATCTATCTAACCCATAGGCAAGACTTCACTTCATCATAAAATGCAAAGTTGCATTATCTTTAGCACAGAATTAGCCCATATGAGAACAAGCTCACAATTCCTTTTCCAAAATCTTTGGGCCAGGTGGGGTGTGGGGTTCAGAAATGCCTGGACTTTAGGAAGGAAATATGTTACATGCTACTCTAACAGGGTCTTCTGGGGGCCATATCCTGCAGCAGGACACATAAATATTCACACTAATAAAACAAAGACTGTGAATGGCTTCTCCTTAGCCCTGGTGTTGCCACTAAATGTGTTTAAAAGATACTTCAACTTCTGGAATCCTGTGGATTTCCAAACTTCAGACAAAAGACTGTCACCATCATCTCCATCTCTTAGATTTTTGAGTCTGCCTAAAATTATGCATAGGGATTCTAAAAACAAATGTAAATATTTAAGCAGTATAAAAATATAATTACCTATATTCCTAGGTAACTAAGCTATTCAAAGGTCAAAGTGTATAAAAGAAATCAGCCTTTATCAAGGCAAATGAAAAGCCAGAAGATGATGTCAACAATAATCAATTTAATCAACATATTTATGAAACACTTAAATTTACTAGAAATTGGGTCGGGGAGATGGCTTAGAGGGTAAAGTGCCTACTGTGTAAGCATGAGTTTAGACCCCTAATTCCCATGTAAAAAGCCAGGAATGGTGGTACATGCCTATAACCCCAGAGAATGCAGTCAGAGACAGGAAGATCCCAGGGGCTTGCTGGCCACGCAGTATAGCCAAAACAGCGAGCTCCAGGTACAGTGAGACCCTGTCACAAGAAATAAGGTAAAGAATGACAGGGGAGACTCCTGACACTGACTTACAGCCTCCACAGGCACACACACACACACACACACACACACACACACACACCACTGAAAAATAAAACAAGTTACTATATTTTCAGGCTTTAAATCCATTAAATCCAAATGGTCTTAAAAAAAGAAAACATACAACTTCCTAACAGTATGAGCTTTAAAATTTTTTTTTATGTATATGAGTGTTTTTTGTGCATGTAAGTGCACTGTGTTTTACAGTGCCTGTAGAGGGCAGAAAAGGGCATCAGGCTCCCTGGAACTGGAGTTACAGATTGTTGTTAGCTGCCATGTGGGTGCTGGGAACCAAACTCCGGTCTTCTGCAAGAGCAGCTAGTGCTTTTAACCACTGAGCCATCACTCTAGCCCTGCAGTGTGTTCTTTAACACATAGAGCTGTGAGGAAAGCTGATAATCAACTTGTTTCTCAGGAGAAATGAAATCAATAACATGTTCTATACAGAAAGAGATGAATTATAGAGGTGAGTCAGAAATCACAAAGGTTTAGTTAACCCTTTCAGACCCTTCTGAGGTTTTTTTAAAGACTTGTTTCATCTCAGCAAGAAGTGAACTAGACAGTGTGGTATAAGGGTCTCTTTTCAGTCTTCTCCCGGGAATCCCGTGTGTAGCTGTGCCTCAGTCTTGGGGAAGAACTTAATATTTTAGAAAGCACTTTCATCTAGGGTCACAGTTCACTAAATATAAAAATTATGATTCAACAGGAAATTGGGTAAGTCAAGCAAAAATTTCTGCCTGTTTCTGAAGATTTTGCTGTCTCAGTGGTTAGAGTTGTTAACCACAGCTTTGAGTATTGGACACAAAACCCTGACAGTATTAGGACTGGCTGATGTTTCAGCATGCAAATGTAAAGCCCACAGCAACAATGCTGTTTTAGAAATCAGCAGAGCTAAGGTTCTTCTGAGTCCCAGATAAGCTCCCAGTGACCACAAAAGTCACGTTAATGAGAAGAAACCAGTTTTAAAGGTAACATTTTTAGACCCAATGTTAGTTTGGTGTCATAATTTATTGCCATTTTTATTTTGTTGAGACAGGGTTTTACTATGTAGCCCAAGCTAGTCTTGAACTCATAATCCTCCTGCCTCTGCTTCCAAAGTGTTCAGATTACAGATTCATCATGCCTGACATAAAATTTTTTTGTGAATGAAAAAAAAATGTATATAGTATAACAAACCCTGTGTGGTTATAACTAGTTTAGTCAGACATTAACACTGTGCCATATTTCTATCTTTCTCCTTATTTTAAAGACATAAAACGGCCAAAGCCCTCTGTCTGTCTCCCCTATCCATTCCCCTCCTCCAGTCTTTCTTGGGGGTCACCACCATTCTAAATCCAGGGTTACTGTAAACACTCTTGGGTTTCCAGTCTTAACACACAGATCTCAAACTTTGGTTTTTGTAGTGCGACTTTTCACTGGTGCTGTATTTGTGTTAATCTCAGTCAATCTTACAAATGTTCATTGGCTCATTTTTCTAACTGCCACAATCCACTGTGTGAATACAATTTACATCATTTCTAGCCTGTGCTCTGTATTATTATATATTTTCTAATGTAGTATAAAGTCCCCAAAGGGCTTTCATAATATCATTTAATAGTTTCATTTAAATGAGCAATGCTTTTGAACTTAAACTTTGAACCCAAGAATTATAGTGATGGCAGGTTTTGCAACTGTCCGACTACTTTCACTCTGTAATTTCTGTAAACATGTATCTGTGTTGAATCAGACCCGGGTAAGACCTGGTAAGAAAGATTGTGATGAACTAATAAAAACTTAGAGAATAAATGTTGATCTCTGATCAAGTTGAATCTAATTCCTGATATTTCCACACAGAGGACTGTTCATAAAATGGTATGTGTGCTCTATATGTTCCTTGAACCAGCCTTTGACTCCCAACCAAGATTTTTCTTTGAAAAAAAAAAAAGCCATACGGGTTTAACAATATGAAATATAATCGCTAGAAAGAATCCAGATATCAGATACCTTCAAACACAAATTTTTCCTCTCAACGGTGATGCTATAGAAGGATACTGAGGACCAAGGAATGTAAACATCTTACCTGCCTTGCTTTCTAGCCTGCTCAGGTCCGTACTGCTAGGGCAAGAGGAGGCCCTGGCACATCGCTTCCCGCGGTCCCTGGGAGGAAGTGGGATGCATGACATGGTCAGCACAAACATGACAGTATTTTCATTTTTGTAAATGAGAAGTTATTTATATGTAGGGTTTCTGAAGAAACCATAGAGAATTGCTTCTAAGATGCAGCCTGGTGCTCCACTTTCTGCCTTAATCAACCTTTGTCTTCCAACTAAAAACAAGTGTATTGGCTTAACAATATGGAATATAATACCAGAAAGAACAAAAACCTAAATCTAAAGTTGACTGAAAAAGAGAAGAAAAGAAAATTGGTTAAGGATGGCCCACAAGAGGTCACTGTTACAGTGAGAAAGAACTCAGCGCTTGCTCCTTAGAGCCTAGTCTTCAGGGAGCTACGATTCTACCCTAGCTTCGCAGGAGGAAAACAGCCCCATGCCGTCCAGATGTGTCCAAGGTCACACAGTTGGATCAGCTCCAGAACACAGGTCTCATAATCTCCAACTCACTGTTCTTTCCACTGCATAATGGTATGTCCCATTCCCGTCTAAAACTTAATTCAATTAATATTCTCTAAAAATGTTTTCTTAGAAATATTTTAGATATTTTTGTAAAGCCCAAGAAGGCATATTTAGGCAGTTTCCAAAGACAAGCATTTTGTGTTCCAAATAAGAGTGGGGGCTGGCTAATAGAAAGACTATATGCCTCAGTTTTTAACACTGTATCCAATTTATTTAATTTCTCTGCTGGATACAACTTCTCTTTAACTAGAGCTGATACTTAAAAGAATTTGCAAGTATAAAATTACATGGTGAAAAGCACTGACAGACTATGAGAGCAGGTTTGAGGACAGATTGTCTTTTTGCTAATCCCATGTAGGTGCATATATTTTTTAAAGTGTATTGCTCTGTGGTCACCTGTAAATACCTGCCCCAGCCTCCACTGCTCCTGTAGTGAGCTCCCTGAACACACAACGGTTCCACACAGGGCTTAGCCCTTGGCCTTTACTAAAGCCCTGCTCGTTAGATTCCTAAATACCTTGTTGGCTTTTTTCTACCAAAATATTCTTTGTAAAACTCTTTGCACTTCCTTGCTCTTTGTCATAAAATGGGGAAAATATGGAGCTAATATTTTTTAAAGTCTAATTCTCTGAAACAATTGTTTAATTTTTCTACACAATAAAAAACAGTTATGATAGTAAGATGTTCCTGGCCAATAAAATTAAGAATATGGGGATAGGTTTCTCTCAAAGACAGAAATAAAGGAGCTCAATCTCGTGAAAAGGTAAAACAGCAAAACTACAACAGGTTACAGTGACTCACACCTCTAATCCCAACACTTGGGAGGTAGAGGGAGGTAGATCAGGAGTTCAAGACCAGTCTCACCTACAAAGTGATTTCAAGGGCTACATGCAACCCTGCCTCATAAAACTGGCCCCTCCCACTAAGGATTTATGAAGTTATTGGTTGATGGTGGAGGGAGAAACATTTTCTGTGATGTAGCAACTGATAAGGTAAACACTCCTGTAAACAGCCCTCACCTATGCTTGTAGCAAACTCTAATGAAACTCATTGGATCACACACACAAAGTCATGAAAGTTAAAGGGGGGATAGTTAGGAAGAGGAAGGGATCAGCAGGAGTGGGAGGGGGACTAGAGAGGGTAACAGAAGTGAACACAATAAAAACACATATATATGTACTACAGTGTCATAAACCCCATTATTCTCTATAATACATGTTAATGAAAATATCTTTAAAAATAAAAAAACAGGGCTGGTGAGATGGCTCAAAGGGAAAAGCTGCTTGCCATGAAAGCCTGGTGACCTGAGTTTGATCCCCAGAATCCATATGAAGGTGGAAGACAACCGACCCCACAAAGTTGTCTTCTGGTCTCCACATTTGCACAGTAGCATGTGCGCACCCCACCCCATCATAATAAATACAGATTTTAAACAAAAACCCCACAGACTTTCGACTGGGGGCCGAGGATGTTTCCGTATTTTTCATTCCTAAACATAACCTGAAAGTTTAAGACCAATAAGGGCAAGAGTTTCATATATGTCTGTATGTATATTATACTGGATACATATGAATATATACTGAATATGTCCTCCCAAAGTTCATAATGCTTCGTTTGTGCAGCCTCACTTCTAGAGAAGAAAAAATTTAGAAGGACCCCAGGCATGTAGACAAACGTGGTGGTGCTGTGTCCTTCCAATTCTCAAAATGAGAAGGTCTGTTATTCCCTGCCACCACACACAGTTGTCTTGATGAGGTAGGCCTGGAGTGGGGGGACCCTCAGCTTGGGTTCAGTTCCTAGGTCAATGTTCACAGCCTGTGGCCATGGGAAGGTATATGGCTTTGGTTTTCTCATTCTAAAACAAGGGCAATGCCTCTGCATAGGATATAACCAGCATATTGAGAGAACTTAATAAGCTGTCAGTACCATTTCTCTTTTTCCTTTGAGTCCACTAGCACTTATAGGAGAAATCCAGTGCAGGATATGAACACAGAATGTGTTTCTTTGGTGATGTTGAAAATTTAACTTGAGAACTCTCTGCCCCCCCTCCCAACACACACAGGGAAACAGCCAGTGGACCTGGAATGATGCTGAGAAGAAAGTGGTTAGTGAGTGGGTGAGGTGGACCACAAAGTGGGACTTAAGAACTGAACCAGCAGATGACAACACTGGTCTTGGGCAGCGAGTAGCATGAGCGCAGATAAAAAGGGGTCCAAGAGCTGGACACTCGGGGCAGGGGACAACTGCCAGCAAAAATCCAGCTAAGTGCACAAGGATCCTGCTGGCAAGAATTAGGAACAGCTTCCTGAAACTTCACGTTGAGCCATGGACTCTAAATGGTGGGCAAAAAGAAATTTATGGTTTCTCTTTCAAAAATATTTCATTTATTATTTTTACTTTACGTGAGTGGGTGAGTGTAGTTCTTTTAACTGCTGAGCCAACTCTCCAGTCACTATTTATGGCTTCTTATACAAGGAAATGATACAAGATGTGGGGTTATGCGATAACCAGAGTGTTAAAATACTTGAAGAGAAAGAACGAGGTCTGTTTTGGGGGTGACGGTGGGATCAGAAGAGACAAGTGAGTCCAAGCGAGTTCAGGCACCTGAAGAATGGAGTCTAGACTGGAGGAACTGGACAGTAGGTCCCCACCAACGGAAGTGGAGAGGTTAAGAAAGAAAGACATTTGCAGAGTCAAGCAAGTGTGGGTTTTGCCTTGTTGAGTTTCTGATGCCGAATGGAGTACCCACAAAAAGTGGAAATCAGGAAAAGTTCAAAGTGGCACACAAGACCAAAATTATAGAAGAGTGGCTCAGAGACCAGAGACCTGGGACAAAGTCCCATCACATGCTGGGAAAGAGGGCTTGAGCAGTGGGTCACAAAAGGTGGAGACTAAGGAAGGAGGCATCTGGCTAGGCAAGCCAGCTGTGTGCCCATGGAGCACAGCTGGATAAAGTCCCACGTGGTTATAAGCGAGAAAGATAGGCACCAAGAAGGGCAAATCCAAGCTGGCCATGGGCTCACTCAGGAGGGACAGGCAGAAGGATTGCAAGTTCAATGCCAGCCCAAGCTACATTTACTGTCTCAAGTTAGAGGAAGTGAAGATGGAAGGGGAAATCCCTCCTCCACTGAAGAGGAGGAAGAAGGTGGCTTTGGGTGCTCCATAGAACCATCTCATTGGTCCTGTGCTACTAACTGAAACCACACGTAACAAATCTTCATCTTTCTTCCTAACGATATCCTTCAGCTATTTAAAGATGCTGCCCTTATTGCTGAAAGCTGTCTCCTGCAGCTTACTCCCCACTGAGAGCTGCGAGGTATGTTTTAAACGAAGCTTCACTTTCCTCATCTGTACATGATGGGTGGTGAGTCATGGTACTCTCACTATGACTACCGGGAGGACCAAATGATTTAGTGCAAAACTGCTTACCAGAAACATGCAAGTCCTCAAGACATGTTTACTATTCTTGATGCTGCCATTACTGGTGTAATTAATGGCCCCTCCAGTGTTCCAGCTGATTGTTCCCCATAGGATGTATTTTCATAGCACCCTAAGCCTGTTTGTTTACTCTGAGAGTTCCAGTCTGTGTCTCTTTAAATGGGACCCCAGAACTGAGCTCATAGTATGCTCTTAGAAAAAAGGAGATATTTGAAATGATGCAGCCTAAGGCCAGTTTTGGTGGTCACATCCTGGGATCGGTCAACTCTTTTGTTACGTGCACAGCTAAGGCAGATGTCCCCATGCAGGTTGGACCTTTGCTCATTCTTATTAAATTCCAGCATTGTACTTGGCAGTGAGTTCCTGCCTATCAGATGTTTTTAGATCTTGATTCAGTCATCTGGTATAACTGTTCTTCCCAGCTTCCTGTTCCACGTTATTAAACAGCATTATTAAATTTTGTACAATGATTTTTTATGTATTCAAATGAAACAATTCTGAAAAGGAGTTCTAGAGCTCTTCTGTGAAATTCTTTTTAGAGGCAGGAAAACACCATTTCATTAGTTAGGCCATCAATCTACAAATGGAAAACTAATTCTCAAGGGCTTAAAGTGGCATTTCCTGGCTCATACAATCCAAAAGAGGCCAGGTTAAGGTGGGCTTTAGGCAAAGTGTGGTCACAGCTTTGGCTCCACATCTCTGCAATTCTCTTAGCTCTGCCCTGGCCAAGTCCTGGAGACAGTAAAATTATACTGTCATACCTAAGTTAAGGTTCCTCAGGCCTCACCTCTGCAGTCTTTTTTTCAGGGCATGAACAAAGTCTTTTCTCTGCAGCCGCCGACAAGAGTCTTACATTTCACCTGAAATACCAGAATCCACGCTGTAGCAGCCAATGCTATGCAGAGGCTGACGGAATCCCTACCGCCCATCCATGGATGGTAGAATCAATCATCTGGCCACATCTACTCCAAGACCATAGATACTCCAAGAAAATCAAATAATAGCTCTTTAAAAGATCCTAAAATATAGATTTTTCTATAGTTCAGACAGTTCTTCCAGCTGTTATGATTATGGTTCTTCAGTTAA